GGGGCCATCACTGCTGCCTCTTGTGGAGGTGAGTTCCATAGCTTAACTACTCACTGTCTTTCTTTGCGGTCTGGAGGTAAGGCATTCTCGAGAAGCAGACAGGACACCAGAGACCTACAAATGGGGTCTCAGACCAATTGAACAGGGATCACAGCACAACGGAGTTTCTAAACTCCTCTCTTAGATCCCCCTTCTCTGATGAAAATGGCCAGGTAGCTTTCCACTTCAAACGAATCCCATATTTGCATATTTCAAGTCCTGAAGGCGAACCTCACAAGGAACCAGGATACATGAGAGAGGTCAAACTGTCCACCTCACCTCCCAGGAAGGGCCTCTCTGCCCCCCCCCCCCGTAGAAGGGTTCCTTGTTCCCAGTTTAGCCTTGCGGCTGAGCCCTGTTGACTCCGCACCAAGCTGGGCCAGAGCAAAAGGGCTACTGTGGGATCAGGAACCCTGAAGGGCCACTGCTTGCTTCTCCTATAGATGCAAAAAGGGGGCTTCGTACAGGAGGACACAGAGTGGTCAAGCTCCCCACCTATCCTGGAAGAAGCCTTGCCTCGCATACCTCTTCCTCCCCCTTAAGAAGCAAGAGCACATCTGATGGAGCAGATGCGTCTTCCATGGGGATCTCAATTTAGGGAACATTCCTTCGCCTGGTGCTCTGCACATACCCCAAGCACAGGCAACCCTGTTTCCTCAATGGTGCACCCCAGACATGCACCCTCCACAGGCCAGGATATTCTGGTGCCTGGAGCCCCTTATGGCAGGGAGCAGGTGGCTCAAGTAGAGAAGCCATGCATTGCTCACAGGAAGAGGACCCTCTGCCCGCCTGACAACTCCACCCAATGCTCTCCTCTTAAGTCCCTGAAAGAGAGCCAGCCTCTTCTCCTAATGGGGAACAGGCAAGCTTTCATCCATAAGGCTGATGAGGGATCTCCCACCTCCACTGCCTCAAAAAGGCACCTTGTGAGCACATGTGCAAATGTGAGCACTTGAAAGGCAGGTGATGCTATAAGGCTCCTCATTGGTTGACAGCTTCCCAGGGTGCCCCCCCTCCTATGAGAAGCAAAGCTGCTGGGGCCATTGATCCTTCTTGTCCTAAAGCAGACTGAACAGGGAGAAGGGCATTTCGCCTTGACCAAGCCATGGTCCGAGGGGGAATTTGCCCATCTTCTGCAGGTCTTCACCCACTCAGCCCTCAGCTGCCAATGGATACTTGTAGGCTGTGTATACACAAACATTTACTGTGGCACCTCGGGTTACATACACTTCAGGTTACAGACTCCACTAACCCAGAAATAGTACCTCGGGTTAAGAACTTTGCTTCAGGATGAGAACAGAAATCGCGTGCCGGCAGTGGGAGGCCCCATTAGCTAAAATGGTGCTTCAGGTTAAGAACAGTTTCAGGTTAAGAACGGACCTCCGGAAGAATTAAGTACGTAACCCGAGGTACCACTGTACTGCGGCTCCACCATGCCAAGCATGAAGGTAGCCCCATCCACACAAATTGTGTACATCCTTGAGAAATACTGCTATTTGATGAGTTTTCCCTCAAAGCAGCTTCCATCCTGCGGTGAAGCTGCGCTGGGGACATTTGAGGAGGGAACAGCGCATGTGCAAATGACACCTTCACAGAATAAGCATTGTGAGGGGGAGGTTTCAGGCACAGAATGAGGAATCAGGGAGTGCACATTAAGCAAATGCATCCCTGCCCGCTCTCTGGCATGTACAGCAGTGTAAAAATGCAAGGTCCAACCACCTATGGGACCACTGGGTTCACCTCTGCAGAAAGCCATTTTGCTCCCTAAGTTGCACCCCTGGGCCTCCCTTTGCTGCGATTCAGAAGCTGTGACTTGGCTTTGGTGAGCCCCTCCGTTCTAGTCTTTGCCCCTCTCTTGTATTCTCATCAGGCCCACCAAAAGCAGTTTGGTCAAAAACGCAGGGTCGCATTTTGTAGCTGCTGCCTCCTCCAGACCCAGCTCCCTCCTCCAGCCACAAAAGGCCTCTGCTTCTCCTGGGGCGCTAACAAAACATTGCTGTGTGTTTGGGTTAGGCAGCAGGGGGTTAATGAAAAAAGCCCCACCAAGGAGGAGGGCTGCAGGGTAGGGCCCTCCAACTCCCTGCAGCCTTGCACTTATTGAAGAATGTGGTAATGTGCTGGATTTTATTCAGGGGGGGGGGCAGGGGCTAGAGCTCCTCTCTGTCCCCAGAAAATTCTCACAATGCGGTTAAACAAAGAGCTCTTCACAAAGAACAAATTTACACAGCAAAGTTTTCTTGCAGGCTAGAAGAATCCCAGCATTATAATGGGAAAAGTGGGTGGGGTGGGGGTGCATTTTGCAGAGGATAAAAGGGCATGGAGAGCAGCTGCCCCCCCCCAACCTCAGAGCAGAAGATTCTGTGTCTGTTAACCTCAGCCTATTAAATCCCCACCAAAGCACAGCCTCTCTGGGAATACGGGACTTTTTGTTCAGAAGGCAGGACTCCGTGGCAGGGGTCGTGCACTGGGAAACCGGGGTTGTTTGCAAAAAGGCAGGCAGTGAAATTATCATCCCATCAGCAAACAGGAGGCACAATTACATCAGGGCCTTTAACGGATCCTCAGGAGACCCACATTAGATACACACCAATATGTACCTGACTGTGCATAAACAACACGGAGGCACCAGCCGCCCAATAGACCAATGGTGGTGTGAAGGCCAGCTGCCTGCCCCGACCCCCGCTCTGCAGAAGGAAGGCAGTCCCACTCAAAGAAGAGATAGTTGGTAGGGAGGAGGCGTGGGTGTAGCAGGGGGGTGGGGCAGCTGCCCCCCTAAATAAATAAAAACACTTAACTATCCAATTGCATTGTACATAACTCAGTTCTGCCCCCTCCAACACAAAGCCTGCCCCCTAAAATAAATCCTGGTGGCGCTGTGGGCTAAGCCACAGAGCCTAGGACTTGCCGATCAGAAGGTCAGCGGTTCAAATCCCCACGACGGGGTGAGCCCCAGTCCCTGCTCCTGCCAACCTAGCAGTTCGAAAGCACCTCAAAGTGCAAGTAGAAGGTAAACAGTGTTTCTGTGCGCTGCTCTGGTTCGCCAGTCATGCTGGCCACATGACCCAGAAGCTGTACGCCGGCTCCCTCGGCCAATAAAGCGAGATGAGCGCCGCAACCTCAGAGTCGTCCGCAACTGGACCTAATGGTCAGGGGTCCCTTTACCTATGCCCCTGGGAGGAAGGAGACTAGATGCCCATCCTGAGTTAGCAGCACGTAAAACAGGGGACCAAACAGGCACAGAGCAAACCTGCTCTTCACAACTATTAGGGGGAGATTTCCATGGGCATTTCTTTTTAAAATGTTTCAATCCAGGCCCCCTCACACCAGCTGGCTCACTCGCTGGCAGGTGTTCACACAGAGACAGAGGGCCTTCTCCTCCGCTGATCCGTGCAGATCATGACCTGCATGCCTATCAAGCCACTGGACCCCATCCATCCCACTGACATGCCTGCCTGGACTGCCTCCAAAACTGGTTGGGACTTGGAGGGATGTGAGGAAAATTGTAGACAGACTCAGGGCTCAGCCACACTTCTGCTTGTCCCATTGCTAGAAAGCACGTGTCTGAGCAGTTTCCCCTTTGCCGTGCCGCTGTCCATGGAAAACCTGCTCTCTAGTGCTAAATTGGCACAAACGTCAATCTGTGGAAATCCCACAGGTTTTTCAGGAGGAAAACAAAAGGATTAGCCCTTAGCCCCCAAATTTACACAATGTCTGAATTTTGCTAGTTACTGCATATTAAAAGGAGTTCCACCCTTTATCAAACACACTGTACTAAAGAGGTTCTAGGTCTTCTAATAAAGGCTAAAGAGGCCGAATAGCCCAGACAAAACGGCCTCTTTTGTCCTCCTCTCCTCCAGAGAGGAGCCTGTCCAACTGAATCAGGCATTTTGGAGATCCTCCTGGTCCAAGACAGCAGCAAAAGCAACAACATTTTTTAGTTTTTTGTTTCTTTCCTCAAAGGCAACGAAGGGGGCACGTGATAGAGGTCCATAAAGCAATGCATAGTGTGGAGAAGGTGGATGGAGACATTTTGGGTTTCTCCACCCCAATACTAGAAGCTGAGGTCATCCCATGAAAGTATGTGGAGGGATATTCAAGACTGAGAGGAAGTATGATGGAACCTGCTTGCTTTGTAATGGTGGCTACCAACTTAAGTTGGCTTTTCAAAGGGCAATTAGACAACTTCATGGGCAATAAGCCTCTCCAAGGCTACAGTTGTGACTGCTGTGCGCTACTTCCAGAACGGAAGAAAGGCCTGCTGGATCAGGCCAAGGGGGCGATAGTGCTCATGTCTTGTCTATAGGTTTGCTGACAGCATATGCTTGACCACTGTAGGGAAGTGGAGGCTGGACACGCCTTTAGTCTGATCTAGGAGGGATGCAGGTGCTGCTGCAAGAGAAACTATCGGAGACACGTCTTATCTGTACTTTCCTGCTCCCACTCTGCCTCACCACTTTGATCTCAATGGATCCCAGTATCTGCAAACACCTGCCCTGCAGATTTTACTTTATTTGGCCCGCCTGCTATGCTAACAGCAATGGCATCGCTATAACTCTTGGAGATCTGCGGAAAGAAAAGGTTAACATCATCAAAATGGCATTCCTTGATTGGCACAGATGTGGGTGGCAGTGAAAAAGAGAGGGGGATGCCCCATTTAGAGAGGAGAAGCTGGAAACATTTGGTCTCAAACAAGCACATTATGAAAGGGTGTTGACATGTTACAGCTGGGAGGGAGGAGGGCCCCACCCCCCTTGTGGGCCACAAGAGGCAGAGATGAGCTTTGGCCAGACCCACCCAGCCCTTCTGGGTAAGCGAGCGCATGTTGCTCTTGCTCCTCTCTTTTGGCAAAGCGAGCCAACAAGCAGAGAAGAGGACAAAGAAACACGCTCCCTGCAGCACTCCAAAACATCGGAGGAGGAGGAGAGAAGATATACACAATTTAAGGCAAAAATATCCAATAGTCACCATTAACATCATATTTATTGTTATTTAGTTGCTCAGTAAAACATATACAGATATATACAATATGCATGAATACAGAAGACTGCACTTTACATATTTTAAAAAAGAAAAAATAACACTCACTTTTCATGAGCTTTTGTCACAGTCTTCCAACCAAGCATTGAGAAATGAATTTAAACAAAAATTCCAGAAAGGGGAGGGGGGCGAGAGGAGGGGAAAGGGTAGATTACAGTTTGCCCTCCACATTCATATCTTACATGTGCAATAATGTTTGTCAGGCTGAATTTGCTATGCAGTAAGGATTTGTCAGGGATTGGGGAAGGGATTTCTTTTTAAGGAATTAGATTCAATACAAAGTAATAGCATCATTTTGTCTTTAAAAACCGTTTTTAAAGCTGCAGTTGTTTTAGGGGTGGTGAACACAGACAAAGCAGCAAAGTGGAAGTTCCCCTGAAATTTCATCTTAGAATCTCTCTGCAGAAATGAGTTGTCCAATGTTTCTGGTTTATTGTAGGTCAGTTTTCATCGTAAGAGAAAGAATTCTGCTGAACAGTTCCGGACTTCCTATTGAAGTGAGGCGAAATCTAAGAATTCAAGGAAAGAGGGTTCCGCGTGTGCAGAGACTCAGACCAATGTCAGAGCAAATTAACCTGGTTACGGTTCTGACAGAAGCCCTGCTTTTCAGAAGGAACAGCCAGGCTGGTCGGTGGAGCATCCAGCTTTGGAGAGGATTTTCTGGCTGCCATGAAAGCAGACTATCCTCCCTGCCCAAGTGCCAATTAGGGCAAGCAACCTACCAGGCATCTCTCCCCAATACGAGGGTCTACAGCCAGTTTCTTGTGATTTCCAACTTGCATGGGGTGGGTACCAAACAGGAAGCTGTCAGCAGGGGTTTGCTGAGATCCATTTACTTAGCTGCAAAAGTACTTTCTGGCAATGAAAAAGATTTCAATTTGGAAACTCCCCCCCCCCACCAAATTGCCTGAATGAGAGTTTAATCTACTGGGTGGTTTTTAAAGTTCCTGTTTTGTTATCATTATTAATTTCTTATTCTTTAATAATTTTCGTATTCTTTAAACACTTAAAATTTCAGTTGTGTTGATTGTTCAAGAAAGCATAATTTTAAAAAGAAAACAAATTAATGTTGTTTAAAATAATCTTTTGTGGTTTGATGGGAATGTCCCCAGGCCAACAGTGCTCCTAGACTGGGACTCCAGGCAGCAGCTCATCTGCATGGTCTCAAGGGGGGAGGCTCCTCCAGCTCTGCTCCCCAGGCCCATCGCCCAGAGGTGGCAGGCGCCAAAGGGTGGGAACCCAAGCCCTCCTGCCCAGCAGGCCTTGCTTCCTTCTCTTCAATGTGCCTGCAGCAAGGAGGGACAAGTTCATTCCTGTAAGGCAGTGTTTTGATCTGCCTCCTGCAACAGAGGGGGAGGGGGATTCAGTCACAAACCAAATTCCCACTGCCCTTAAAACCAGACTTTTCAGGAGAAGGAGCATGATGGCCAAAGACACAGGAGAGCATGGGATGATTGCTGGATGACACCATGTCCATTACCCATCCTGGACACAAGTCAGAACGAATGCTCAGTGAACAGGTCATGTGGAAGGGACCAAAGGCTCTCCGGCTGGCCTGGAGTTGCAAATCTCGCAGGGAGAAAAGAAGAAAATGTAAAATCTAGCTTTAGCTACATGAAAATAATGTCACACAAATCTGAGTAGACATTTAAAATGCCTTCATTTGAATTTCTTGGGTTTAAGAAAGAGGAGGTGGCCTCCTCCAATTAAAGGAAACTAACCAGAAGAAGAACAGAAAGTTAGGAAAATGCAGTCAGTGAGGCAAAGGTTGAAAGAACTGCCTTGCCCAGAGCCCAAAAGGGCCTTTCCTTCATCCCAGGAAAGGCCAACAGCAAAGAACATAGACTTGCTGGGGACTGCTGCTTCCTAGCTGCAACACCCCCTGCCCAAAAGCAGGCAGAGGAGGTGCCTTCCCACTCCACAACTTTCCATTCCCATTACCTCACCATTTACACGGCTTTACAGTATTATGGTTGGGGGGCCCCAAGGGCTTGGGAGGAGATCAAGCTGCAGCAACAGCCTGTGCCTGAAAAGCAATGGCCCATACAGGTGGAAGCTAACAGGCTCTTTCTGGGGACGGCTGATCTGAAGACCAACAAGTCCTTGACACCTTAGGGTTTCCCTTTGCTGTGATCCTCCCTTCAGAGAATCAAGGCAATGCCAGCCAGTGACCACTTGCCCATACAGCTTCAAGTAGCTAAAATGACAGGCACCCTGCTTTAAAGCTGGCTATGGAATTAACCCTTCTGAATCCAAAATGTGTTCAGCTTGCGAATCATGCTCAGCCTGCCTCTTCTGGCCCATGCAGTATTAGCGCCATGGGAGGGGAGAAGGGGTCTCATGTGGGCATGAGAGAGAGAGAGGAGGGTGGGAGGCACAGACAGACAGGAGAGCCCTTGAAGTGCACAGATGGAAGCAGCAGGAACTGGATCACAAAAGGAACTGCAGGCTGTGGCAGACATCCACATCACTCAAGCAGCTTTCTAAATCTCATGTGGCCGTACCAACACATTTTTGGCATTTTCTAAGGGCCTTTCCAAATTCTCTCTCACACACACTTGCCCAAATAAGGCCAGTCCATTTGTTAACCACCCAGCAACTGTTGCCTCAGGCAGTGGACTGGGAGGGGTGGCAAATGTGCACACCCTATGCCAGTCTGCCCTGCACATGCCCACCTTCTGGAAAAAGCCACTCAGTAGTGCCAATGCTACTTAAAAGTGATGGGAGGGACACAACTTGCATGACATCTCTTTTTAGGGTTCCCTGGGTGTCTGAAACACTCCTCGAAAAACCGGGGGCTCCATTAGACTCCAGCCAATGGTTGGTTGGCCTGTGCTAAATCTGCCCCAAATGATGATGGCCAGTGGATTCCAGCAAATGCTAGTTTCATTGGACAGAGACGTGGGGGGGGGGGACCACCAATGAAACTAGCACTTTCCAGCAGCACGGTAGAGAGTGGGGCCTGTCCAGCTTTTCGGCTCTGCCACAGGGTCACAGCTTAGCACTGCCCTAGAAGAGCCCGAAGGATTCAGCAGCCACTCCTGCCCTCAGCTGCCTCAGCCCAGTTCCACAGGATGACAATAGGTTTTTAAAATGAAATTTAATAAATCCCTGTTTCAATTGCTTTAGCAATGCAAGCCTGTAAGGAAGCATACACTTGTCACACAACCAGGAACAACACTGAGCTCAGCCGAGACAAACTCTGTCCCTCCCCAAGGTGGCCGGCAGCATCAGGAGCGAGGAAGAAGGAAAAGCACCCTCTGCTTGCTCACAGGCCTTGGGTGCCCTTGGAGGGAAGCTGCCACGGAGACACATGGCTCTGTCCCCTGCTTGGGCAAGTGGCTCTGCCTGGCCCTCTGGCTGCTCCAAGAAGAATGGGGATGAGACTCTGCAACAGAAAAGCAGACAGGCAGCAGGAATGGGGGGGGGAGCAGCTTGCATCCCCCCTTCCCCCTCTCCTCCTAGTTTCGCTCTCTGGAAAGAAACAGCACAGGCTGAATCCTGGACTGAGCATTACAGGTTTGGCTTGCAGGAGATGCACAAAAGCTCATCATCCATTCGGTGGCTTTAGGGTGGCAATTTCACTTTGAGGAGCATTTTAATCAGGACAGAACAAAGCATGGCGGGGGAATGTGTACAAAGTAAAACCATCTTGCCTCAGCTAGCCAGGCAGCCGAGATCAGTCCTCCTGTGGGTGGGCACCCATCTTTCAGGCAGACGCATCTTACAGATGGGTTAGCAGTAGGAACATACCATGGTGAGAGATGTTTTTAAAAAATCAAGGTGAGCTTTATTTTAAATTAACCCTTTCCAGTCTCTATGCCGCTAAGCAGGTACCAACCTAGAAAAAGAGTCCGACTCGCAGGAGTGGCCCTTTAAACAAAAAAAGAAAGAAAAGAAAAGAAAAGATCCTTCCCCCCCCCCACTTCTTCTTCAAGTCAGGGCAGCCACAAAAGTCCCAAATCTGTTAGAGATGTCCGAGTGCAGGGATCTCCACGTTGGCACCGCAGTCCGGCCCTTCGCTTCGCCCATGTCGTCCGTGCAGTGGACAGAAAGGCACTGCAAATGGCTGCCACTCTGTGCCGCGGCCGAGGACTTGCTTGAGGGGAGGTCGTGGGCTGCAGAGGGTAGACAGAGAGGTTATGGTCAGCTCAACAGCAGCAGCAGCAACAACAGAAATAACTCAATGCACAATGTTCTCAGGCTTCTGATGGCAGCCTCAAGCAGTTGGGATGTTCTCGGAAGAAGAAGGGAAAGGAATGTGGGAGGAGGAGGAGGGGAGTCAAAGACATCTGTCAGGAAGGAAGGGTGGAAGGGGAGTGTGGCAGGAGTGGGAGGGAGGGAGCCAAAGGGTCCACAGGAGTTGTTCTGTCGCCCCAAGCTGTGCATCATTTGGTACAGTGCTATAGAAATGTATAGAAATCAAATAAATCAGAAGCTGCATTTATGCAGCAAGGTTCTGCTTAGCCTTTTGTCCCTAAAACTAAAGAAATCTGAATCACTTGCACTGTATCTTTAATCTCTTTATTAAAGGAAGTTACACACTTGACAATAATACCCATATCTCAAGGCAGCAAACCCTGAAGGTATCAAAGTAAAAAGCAAACATTTCACAACCTGGCATTATTATGCAAAAGGCTATGCTAGCAGTGATGAATTATGGCACTTTCTGGGTGAAAGAGAAGCAGAAACACGGGTGCCCATCCGCTCCCCACCCAGCCTAATCCACCACCACCCCTGCCCTGAAGACCAAACTCAGACGGTACTGGAAATGAGGGATGGGCAAATCTGCCAACTTCACTTTCTAATTTGTCCATTTCTCCATATTTTCTCATTAGTTTGCTTTTTTAAAAAAAGTCCTCATGAAAATTCATCAGTGGATTTCTGCTAATGTTTGTATGGAATTTTACCATATGCACATTTCTGCAAAGCCATTTTCACTAATACATGCATTCCTATGCAGGCTAGCATTCCTCATTTTTGTTCACATTACTTGACCAGAGAACTGCATCGCAACATTTGGAGAAGTGTGGATGTAAAAGGATGGCTGTTTCATGTGAATTTGGTGGGTTCACCTTTATTTTAACAACATAATTTATATGCCACTTGATTGTGCAGGGAAAACCCCTTTAAGCAGTTTATTATAATATAAATAAAATATTAAAATTCTCAGTAAAAAGAGAAGAAGTTTTAAACAAGCATATCTGAAAGCGTTTAAAATCTGCAATAGGTAAAGAAAGACAAAATGCATTTAACTACATGTCTGGATAGGCTTGACCTTAAAAAGGTTTTAAGCAGGGTCTGAAAGAATGCAGCAAAGACACATGCCTATCAACAGGCAGGGAGTTCTAAAGTGTAGGTGCTGCCACAGTAAAAGATTGATTTATTGCAAGTGCAGAACGAGCATTATGTTGCATCTGTAACAGTAGCAGTTCCACAGATCAAACTTTAAATGCAAACCAATCAGATTTCTCCCTTATCCCTACCTGGAGCACATGGTCACCAGAAAGAAGCTGCCTGCATCCCAGGTTGCCTTTGAAAGCAACTGCAGGTCCTGCCCTGCCTCTATTCTCCCCTCAAGATGGGAAATCCAAAGTCTCTCGGGGTTCCAAATAATGAATGTCACCCTAAGCCACAAGCTGCACACTCACCACACAAACAATGGCAACTGCCACACCCAGAAAAACCAAACTCTGTGCCAAGGAAAGAGTAAATTTCTCTTACTTTGCATAACTTATTTTGTTTTCTCTCTACATAATTTATTCTTGCTTTATTGTCTTGCGGCGGGTGTGTGTGTGTGTGTGTGTGTGTGTGTGTGTGTGTTTGCCTCTATCCCCAAACTACTGGAAATCTTATGCAGCCGCCACCTTGGGCCAAATGGGACTTTCCCTGGTGCAGATGGCCAATCTGCATTTCTCCCCTACCTCTCCTGGGAACTTCCAACAGCTGAATCAGACTCATGACATGATGTCGCAGAGTTCAGCATTCAGCACCCCCCCCCCATCCAAATACATAGGCAGCAGTAGCCAATTAAGTGGTGCAAGGGCAGGGAAAAGCTGAACACAATGGCATCACGCTGCATGTCAGCTTCAACTAGACATTCCCAGGGGAGATGGCGAACGGATGTGAATGGTGACAGTTGCACATTATAGGTAACATCAAGTTTGGGCTTCTGGCTTCTAGAATTCCCCCAAGGACTGTGCACACAATTTCAAGCATACATTTTTAGCCATAAGGGATAGAAACTTGGAAAGGAAAAGTTGAGGTTCCCAAGAAGCTATTTTTTCTATTGCTGTTTCCCCCCCAGAATCCAGCCTCTAAAATAACAAACCTGGTTCCTGTGGAGCTTAGGAACTGCCTCCCTTTATCAAAACTAAGGGCGCATCCACACACCTTCTTTGTCCACTTTTTTTTTTTTTGCCCCACTGGTTTCCCCAGGAAAACCCAATATTTATTGCTGAATCAGAGCAAACATCAATTCAGGTTTTCCGTGGAATTGTTTTCACCACTAAAGAGTGGGCTTTTGCAGGGAAAGCACTAGGGCAAAAATAAAAGTTCCTGGACCCAGGCCTAGAAATGCAGACTCTTTTGCACACACACACACACACACACACACACACACACACAGCAGTTCACACTGTCATCAGATTTAAAAAGCAGGAAAGCACCCCCTTGAAGGCCGCTTTGCAGTTCCAGAGCTCCCTACAGCTTGAAGAGATTAGCCTGAGCACAATGCAAGAGTTTTCTAAGCAGACACTTCTGTCTTGGTGACAAAGTTAAATAAACACAGGTCATTTTTCATTATTATATAATGTACCTTTTAAAAGACCACCCTGCCCGAGTCTCATGAGTGAGAGATGAGTTCAAATCAGCACAAGTTGTGCAGCCAAGGAACACACGTGGCCCCAACTGATCTAGTCCATTCTTCCTTTCCTTCATGGTCCTAATTGGAGCTCAGGAGATCACAAGAACATCGGACTGTGCCAAATTTGACGGCACAATCCTGTCTTGGGTTTTAAATGAATTGGCTTGGTGGATATTTGTATGAGGGTTTCCCAGAGAACGGGAGATAGGGAGGTTAAGCCTTGGAGTCTGCTCAACACTGGCAGCTATTATTTACTATTTTCTTTTCATATTTCCATCCCACCACTCCACCAAATCTAGGCCTCTCCCCTCCTTGATAGAGAAATCCACAAAGTAGGGGTGCCTATTCAGACTCACTAACCAGATGGCTGAAAACGGCAGCAGAAGCAAGTTTTGCTATTAAAAAACCTTATGCCCTGATCTCACTGGGGATTGTGCAAACCTCCCATCTGATCCTCCCATGGAGCTTTTGGTCCCACACAAACACAAAACTGCCTCCATCAGTGCTGGCAGACTATAGTGACAGGATCCACGCTGATTGTGCCGCTCAAGCCAAAGATCCCACCAAAAATGTGGCCTCATGAAAGTCTGGCCACATCAATGGCAAAGGGGAAGGAGGTCCATCTGTCAGCCTTCTCAGTATCCTCTCTGCCTTCTTCTCCACCACAGCAAGCAGCTCTGTGGCATTTCTAAACAGCACCTGCACTCTCCTTTCCCTGCCCCCTCTTTTAGTGCACTGAAGGGTTCTGTGGCAGGTAATGCCTGTAGCAGCAAGGAGCTGAGCAGCTGTGATGCCACACAAGGTCTATCAGAGGCAAAGACGACCAGTCACAATGGCTGCGTATTACCTTCCCACAGGCTCTGAATATTAGCTGCTGGGGACTGAACCTGGGAGATGCCTAGTGCACTCATATCCTGCTTGTGGGCGGGGCAGGGGTCCCCCCCCCAAGAGACATTGGGGGGCTGAGTGGGAAGCAGGACATTGGAATACATGGGCCCCCTTTGGCCTGATCCAAACAGGATTCTTCCTACGTTCTTAGGGATATTTTGACATGCTCAGTGAAGATTTCTAAAAACATGAGACTGCCAACAGCCAGCTTCTGTAAGAGAATGAAAGGTCAGCTGGGCTGGAGAAAACTCTCACAGAGGCTTAGGCAGGTGAAGACAAGCAGCATCAGCAGAGGAGGCTGAAAGGGAGGTGAGAAGACGTTCCAGGAAGCCAGAAGGCAGCCACAGAGGGGGAGCAAGGGGGAGCTCCAGGGAGGGGCCAGAACGCTGGCTGAGGATCAGGGGGTCCAAAGGAAGCGGAACAATGAGGCAGGGGGCGGGAAAGCAAGGAGCCAAGGAAATGCTGGGGCTGCAAAGGAGAGTGTGAGGCCAAAGACAAGCCCACAAACCCTTTCTTCTCAGGGTGGGGTCTGCCAAGGCAGAGCGGCACAGAGAAAGACGTGGGGACAAAGAGGCACACCCTCTGGGCCAGGATGCTCAGTGGGGAGGGGGACGGGGGCTCTGCTTTAGCACTCTTGGTGGCAGCCGTCAAGAGGCAGTGCTGCCGCTACCAGGAGGGAAACTGGACAGGGTGCAGGAGAGAGCCAGGCCTTGCCTCTCCCTCAGAAGGAGCCTTGGGCACACGCATCCGTCCGCTTCTGCAAGGAGCAGGAAGAAGCAGCACACAAGGCCACGAGTCCTCAGAAATACCACCTGCCAGCAAAGAAGAAAGCATCTCACACATCACCACCTGCAAGGAATGTTGAATTATGAGCCTACCAGCAGCTTAATGAAGGCAACAAGAGACATGGCAGGAAGGCCAGAAGCCGTCTCTTTCTTCCGAAGCGATGGGGGGGGGGGAGGCGGCAGAAGCACAGGCGCATGCACACACACACAACCAAGGAGCAACTGTGAGCCTGGTCAAGGTCTGGCCATCCAGCACTGTCAATTTGCTCTCGTAGGAGGAAGAGACCTGCCTCAAGGCTCATCCCTTGCACCTCTCAGAAGGCTCTGACAAAGCCCTGCAGCTACAGGCAGTCATCGGCTGAGCCAGAGTTGCATCCTCCCAGCCCAGCGTGGGGCTGGCCGATGGCACTCGGCCCTCTGTGGCCAGCCAACCATGAAGCTCCTTGATTAAGGTTAAGGCTGAAGGCTCAAGCCCCATCTTCTGGGAGACTCCCTCCTCCTCCCCCCCCCCCCGTCATGCGCTTTGGTGCACAAGGCCAAGCGCTCCCCAGTGGGAGTGGCTTCCAGGGCTGCTGCTGCT